TGAATTCTCTAACTGTAAATAACTATTTTGTTTCTTGTAGAATCTATTTTATCGCGAGTCAAGAGTCATCACTGACAAATCTAATCTGCACAGACGTACTCCTGCGTCCGGCCTAATTGAAGATCGATTAAAATATTTAAGAAGAAAGAACATGTGTGGGAGGAGAAGTAACTCCAAGGTTGTGGACAACACCATGCCGGAAAGTATGAAGTTTTAGAAATTATTCTTTAGTACAAAATCAAAATGCTTATTTAATTCTAATATAATTTTAGGTCCGTCTGCGGATGAAGAGGAAAAAAAGTCCTGGCTTTCTTACTCATCGAGTCCCTATGATCAAGTTGCAGATTATATGGCGCAAACTTTTCGATTGAGGTCAGACGAGTTAATGAAAACAGACGATTTGTCAGTAACACTAAGCCAGTGGCCTCGGTTGATTGATACTCCGGGGATGGTAATATTTATAATTTACAATATCTTTTACTTGAGTAAAAAAAAGTTGTTGTCCAACAGATTAATCAAGATTTTGCTGTACGACATCCTGGCGCAGGTGAAATTATGCTTCACATGTGGGACTCAATTTCGCAGCAAATTTGGAAGTTTGCAAAAAATGCAAAAACAGACGCTTGTAGGGAAATTGGAATTATCTACAATATTAATGATTGGTCTGCAGGTAAATAGTGATTATATACTTGCATTATATAAAATAATTTGATTGTGTTAATTCCACCTACTATTTTATTCACAGAGCAAATAAATGTTGGGTCCCTAATTCTTCTTCCGTATTTATTGTCAAAATCTGCGTACTCTAAAGTTAACAAGAAACGGCGAAAAATTACAGGCGGGCAATCTTCAGAATTTTTCATTAAATTTGTGAAGGTGATTTCACCTCATTTTACTATTAGTTTTATTTGAAATTCGTTTATTCTAATTAATTTATTATTATTTTAATCTGCAGTCAAATGACGATTTGGAAGAATTTAGATTGTCAGAATCGGTGAGAAAGCAGCCGTTTGTTTTATGTGTTGGAAACTTGAAGAATCTGGAAATTCAACAAGTCATGGTCGAAAGGCACCTAATTTTTGCAGAATCCCTCGTGAAAGCAGTGGACATTTGTTTCAAAATATTCCACGTTCTGCAGCTACAATTTCCAGAGGAATGCTCTAGTGTATGGTGCTTTTTTGACCATACAGTCTTTCGAATCAAGGAAATTAAGTCACCATCATCGTCAGTTTTGTTTCTTGGATCCCAAATTAATTTGGAAAATGGAGAAAAATAAAATATACTGGTTTAGGATTAATTAATTTAACATATTTATGTGTGTTTACGAAACTTAATTTTACAGTACTTACGCGAAATAAGCAATATTCATTTTCAGTATTTATAAAAGGTTTTATATATTTATAGTTATTCTAAATAAGTAATTATTAGTAAGTTGTAAGTATTAAATGTGTAAATTTTAACGACGGATAAATATTAATGAATAAAAGTGCGTTTTAGTGATTTCAAGAGTATATTTTAATCAACATTAAATGCAAACTTTGATAAACAATAGCATAAAGTTAAATACACGCAAGAGTAAATTTTAATCATTCAAGTTCTCATTTTTTAGTGTTGTGTTGTGGAATTGTTGGTTTTGGGTTGACTAAAATTTGCACAACTTGTTGAGTTTTTTTTACCCAATTGTTGTGTAAAACTTTTGATCAACAAAGTTGAGTAAAATTTAAGCAAGGGTTGTGTCATCCTCTTTTTTGATTAAAGTTGGACAAAATTTTATACAACCTTGTATAAATTTTGTACCTTTTTTTTGAGAGTGTACAAATATTTTCGTTGCTCTGCATTTAATGGATGAGAGTGATATGACAGTATAATACTCGCTATAATCGATAAACTTGGAAGCGGGTTGACCAGAATTTTTTAGTAGTTTGGTAAGAAAAGTAATTAGTATGTAAAGGAAGGAAGTACTAAGGATTCTAATTATTTGCCCCTCAATAATAAATATTCGTTCACAAAGTTCGTTTTTAACTGTGGGGAACTACATAGGTACATACATACATATGTAGGTATGTATATTTGGTCGTCTGGATGTACATAAGTACATACATACCTATGTATGTATGTAGATACTAATTTCGCGGTAAGAATTGCTAAAGAGCTGGCGAACAACACTGCAAAATGCAGGTTTGGTTAAATTTAAATGTTATAACGACGATATCATTTATTACCGGATTTTTAATTATTATTAATGTATATATTTGTACACATTTTTAATTATACAAATGTGAGCGCAAAATTATTCAATTAAATATTTAAATATCCATTTACTGTTACAAAAACTAATCTACAAATTTATATATTGCACAAAAAACATAATTCGTTTGTACTCGAAATTTAATACTAAACATATTAATATATTTCTAACCTCTGCAGTCATTCTTTCTCTTCCGCTATCGCAAACCAAACTTTTCACGCGATTTCGTTAACCTGCAAGTTGGCCAATATTTCCTCGCACGGTAAAATAAAAATAATGAAAAACGGGGACAGGAATATCTAAATTTTTGACATTTTAGCCGTGATATGAATATTTTTGTTGCATTGAATTTAACGGCTGAGACCAACAAAATACTTGGAAATGTCGATTCTAACTTGGCAGAATTTTCGAGTATATTACCCAGAAAAGTAATTTATAACGGGCGGGAATATTACGAATTTTAATTATTTTTCGGGACTAATAATTAGGTTTGAAAATAAACAAATTATTTTTTCCCAGAAAACTGCATATATAACTTGGCAATTTCGAGTTATATAAATATGTTAATAAGAATTATCCGATTAGAAGTATTATAACAACATTGTGCTAAATAGGTATTTAAATTTTTGCGACCATGCATGCTAATGATACGGTTAAATTCGTCAATGATTATGCATATGCTCCTTTTAGCCTATTTGGTACAGTCTCACGGAAATTCTTAGAAAATTACAAACATAAATAGGACAAGTTTTACATCTCTGACGCAATCTTATCAGTAGGAAATCTATGACAACAATTGACTTACATATTTGGGTATCATTCCACTAATGGCATACTAAAGTGCAGAATCGTGTAGAAACGTCGATACATACGTCATTTATTGACATGATACGTATATAAATATGTACATATATTTAGAAATTAGAAATTATCTCATGTGTTTAATTGAATACGTGCGTATTTTAGCATATTAAGTATGTGCATTAGCCCTACATACATACATCAGGTTATAAAACTATCCTATTTCCTTATTTACTTTGCCTTAAATATGTGAATGACATATTCGCACTGGGGGACCAAATAAAAATTTTACAAAAGTAAAATAATTTATTTTTCTGTAAACATCAAACATTAATCAAATACATAAAGTTGAACCAAATAATATGACATACATTTATGTTTCATCCAGTTTTCGATTTAGTCCTTGTACAGCAATACATATGTAGCTACTGTTGATTCAAAATTAATATGCAGTAAAAATTCTGTAAGGTTATTTGGCGGATGATTGGTTTCCATTGATTGGTTTTGTTTATATTCTCAAAATTTCACATGATTTTCATTCAAAACGTAGAAAAAATGTGCATAATTAAATCGTTGTCAGTGTCAACCAGCAATTTCGGCCATTTTACCTTTTAAAAAATTTCGAGGAATTTACTGCATATTAATTTTGAACGAACAGTAACTTGGCTCAATTTTTCAAAATTCTGCACATATTTATTTAGGCATCCACGTAGTCTGAAATATTATTACTCAACAGGTATACCGTAAATCTGACTACAATTTCAAACCGGGTATAATTAGAGACCTGGGTAAATTACTTTTCGGTTCTGCATAACATGCAGCATCTAAATAAGAACAGGCATTAAACGAATCCCATAATTAGAGACAAGCTTATTAAATTTTTCAAACTTTGGCTGAAGACCCGGCTATAAATATCTATTTATAGCCGGGTCTTCAGCCAAAGTTTGAAATATTACCTCTAGAGGTAATATTTACGGTAATTATGTTTTTTGTGTGTATACATAGCTATGTAAATAATACACGATTCGCCAAACGTTACGGGCATCTCAGATACTTGGTGGGGTGCAGGACTACACTGAAGTTATAGAGACCAAACTTTCGAATTTTGAAGAATTAATGCATTTAACGCGGAAATTGATTGCGAGCTTATATTTGTTTGACTTCAGAAAAACTAGAAAACTTTGGCGGATCGTTTATTAATTCCGAACACACTATGTATACAATTGATTTGTAAAGCTGAATATATACGTTATTTGATTGAAGAGAACACAATTGAATCGCAACAACATGATCAGCGGAAGGTACTCGTAAACAGGGTATTCCGACCTGGGTTTTAATGGGTTGGGTTTTATTGGGTTTTAATGGGTTTTAATGGGTTGTAAATGAATAAAACCCACTGGGTTTTACCATGTTAAGTTGGTTTTATTTGGGTTTTAATGGGTTTTATTGGGTTTTAATTGAGTTTTACCTTAAAACTACATTCTAAAAGTTAAATACATCTCCTATACGTTAGAAGACGTTATCTCAATTCGTTTATTTCATTACTATTCTAACGTATGAAAATTCGGAACAAATCAACAATTGACTCCATCCTTTAGCATCACAGATTTCAAGTGTTATAAAACAAAAATAATGTCCGAATAGATACAAATTCCTAATTATTTTTGTTAAGTTATTACTTAAAACTAATAAAACCCATTTAAACCCAATAAAACCCATTTAAACCCAATAAAACCCATTAAAACCCATTAAAACCCAAATAAAACCCAATTAACATGGTAAAACCCATTAAAACCCATGGGTTTTATAATTTTTGATTAAAACCCTGGGTTTTTCCGAACCCTGCTCGTAAACCTAAATAAATCCATTATACTTAAATTTTAATTAAATACGTAAATATACTAAAAGTCAAGCTAGTTAACATGCCAATAATTTTTCCCTCTTCTAAAGAATGCTAGACTTTGCCGTGTACCTTTTCGGCGTGATAATTCCAATTTTTCGCAAAATCCGGTACACCCTCCTTCTTCCGTTTACCCCAATTTTGATCCCGATAACGGATTATGTATTACGTCGCATGAGGATTAAGGTCGACTCAGAGATGAAATCCAACCCTGACATTTGTGTAAAAGATGGCCGATTCTACGCGCGGGTGTGGTCCGATCAACAGTTAGGCTTTGAAGAAGCGTACACGGAAGGATGGTGGACATCGGACAATCTGGAACAACTGTATGACAAGTTGTTCTACTTTTTCGGTAAGCACAAATGGCTTGCCAAGGTGCATATCGCGTACTGGGAGGCCGCATTTAGGTGGGGATTTTTGAACACGGGGAGGGAAGATTGTACCCATAGAATTTCACCGGAATATGAATTACGTGAGTATTAATTTTTAGTAGATAAATTCGGATTTATTCCAATTAAGGGTTACATATGTATGTGTAAATTTTGCTATTTTGGACAATACAAATTTTGCAATTGGATATGCACTTTGCGTTTTTACATATACATAGTGTAAGCATTTTACAGCTCATTGTAATTAATCAAACACCGATTTGCTTATTCATTTATATCCAAATAAAATATCAGGATTAATGATTCAAATAATTAATGTCAATGGAAAAAATTTTAAAATGTTATGATCGAGATTAATTTAACAAGCTTTGGCACGGATTCAATTTTGAGTAGCCTTACTCATCTTAATTTAAGATTCTTAAATGTTATGTATAGCATACTTTTTTCGTTTTATTTCGTTCCTCTAATTTTCAAAATTCACTTGCATAGCTGCAGAATATGTAAACTTGAACCCGGACCAGGACCACATGCAATACTCGGTCGGTTACTATGCCAACGGTGCGACCACATTTGCGGAATCACAAGTAGAAAAGCTGAAACTAATCGCGTCCAAGCTTAATCTTCAACCGGGGATGAGGCTGCTAGATATCGGCTGTGGATTTGGCGGTCTTTCAAAATTCATGGCCGACACCTATGGCGTCAATGTGACCGGTGTCACCATTTCCGATTCGATGGCCAAGCAGGCAGTGGATCACTGTCTTGGGAGCAAAGTAACAATTACGAAGCAAGATTGGAGAAAAATTGAGGGAATTTTTGACCGCATTACGATCATCGAAATGATGGAACACGTGGGAAAGCATAATTACGATGATTTTTTTTAGAAAAATCGAATCCCTGCTGAAACCTGGTATGTATAAAAAATGTATAAAAAATGTATAATCAAGCTTTACTATGGCTTCACTTGCGAGCAGCTATGCATACCTATGTATTTACATACATTTCATTAGTACACTCCTAATAATACCAAGCGGTTTTAAGTATGTAAATATATGCATAAACACATCTGACTCCTCCAAAATTAGTATACACATACAGTAATTCTTCGTGGTAATAGCTCGACCTAAAACTTTCCTCATTGCCATATTAAATAGTAGCAAATTGTTACGGACCGGTATAATTTTAATACCAAGTGGTCGCAACTATAAATAATACCGAGAAATTAATACAAGTTATGTATGTAAAAATTACTCCATCTTGTAAGGTTATTGAGATAAATATTTAAAAACTTCAAAAATTTTTAAAAGAAACAAAGTTTGAACATTTAGAAAGAATTAAAATTCTCAAAATATGTACGCTTCATTCAAAAAATTGTCAGATTTTAATTTGATAAATGTGCCACAAATTTGATTTATTCTATATACATACAGGGGTACAGATCCTTATTTTAGAGGCATAAAAACTGACCAAATTCAACGCAGGATGGGTTTCTTGTATTTCTGTCATTTTATTCTCGAAACCTAGTTGTAAGATGTGCATAAAACATTTGTGCGACGAAAATCGGTCAAGAAATGCAAAAGTATTGGCTATCCGAAGTCGACAATCTCATAAACCATATTTCCGAAGGAAAATTGTCACATAGGAAAATTGTGAAGAAGTTGAAATTATCCGGATGTAGCTTTGATTATTCCCCAACATATCGTGAACTTAATTCCGTTGGAATTAGATCAATATCTAAATTAGCGGAACTATCATCCCTAATAAAGTTGCAGCCCCCGAAAAACTTTTCTCGTACCGTTTTTCGGAAAATCGACGCTTTGACAAACCAGGAAAACACTCAAACCCAAACTTAAAGTGGAATAGTTGTTAAAATATGGCAGCTGCATATGAGATGAGTCATCAACAACAAACTTCAAAAAGAGGTCAGAAAAAGGCCAAAGTTCAAACTTAAAATTACTTTGTCTCGAAAATCTCTAGGAAAACTACCCAGTATGCAGCCGACTTAAAACAGACGCTAGGGATTTCAACCATTCCTAATTCCCAGATACCTGTGACAAGTCCTGATGCCACTCCTTAAGATTTTTAATGGGTTTAAACTACTGAAACCATAGGTTCTTCTCTGACGAGGTGCAACTTTTTTTAGGTTTTTCGGAAAATTCTTCAGGAGGAGTTGTAGAAAAATTCCCTCGAAAATATAGGAAAACTAATGAATACGTGGAAATGGCGATATAGACTGTTTAGCCAAAGGTCTGGGGAACACATTGAAACAAACGAAATAAACTAATCGACGCCGACTGAAATTTTAGGCCAGATTTTAAACCTCTCCAATAAGGATCTGTAACCCTCTGTATGCCGAAACTTTACACGAATTTAAATATCCAGGTGGACAGATTTTCCTGCAACACTGCACCGTCGATCCTGGTCACCCTCACTTTCCCGAATTTATCTGTAAACACCAATTCGGCCAGGTTTACTTTCCATACCTGCACGAAGTGGTCAACCATGCATCCAACTACTTGGACATCGCCAGCATGCAAGACATCACTTGGCACGGGGAACGGACGTATCGACAATTCGTTGACATGTTGGACACTAATCGGGAAAAGATGGAAGCCTTTGTGGGCCCCAAAGTTTGGAGGGCCCTTCGTATCTCGTACGCTTTACCGCTAGCAGGTCTAAAATTCAGGAGAATGAAGATCTATCACACCGTCCTGATAAGAAAGGTGGATAGGGACAAATTCCGAAAGAAATGGTAAAGCAGTCCGATCGAATCGACCAAATTCATTACGCAATTTCCGTCGCGAATATGTACCTAATTCAATTTATTTTGCTTCATAATAATTGTCTTGCCTCAAATAAAATGTGTTATGCAAGTAATAATGTTCTCTTTAGTAAGGAAGTATTTATTTAACAACTTTTCCTTGTTACTTTAAATCTTTGATAAGGATTCATAACTTCTTATGTATTTCCAATATGCATTTATACATGTAGCATAAACTTCGGTTAATTTTTCTCCTTTGTTGAATATATATGTACATGGGTACGTATGTTTGCATTTACACAAATTTATGCATTGTTACCTTGTTTAAGTTTAATTTGTGTGGATTTAAAAAATTAGCTGAATACATAAATCATACAGATCTATATGTCAAGTCTCAAAATTGGTATATATATTGTGAACGGGATAGGAAGAGCCCTCTATTGGTATGTATAGTTTGACGTGGTGGATGACGTGTCACCTTTCTCATTTTTTACGTTATGAAACTGGGCTGTTCCTTTTCCAACTCATTCCAGAAGTAGCAACCTGTGAACCAAGGTGTGTAATTGGCTTGTATATGAATGTCTAAATTTTCTATTAATTCGAAATAGTAAAGATTCGATATTTTGTGACATATTTAAATCATCGTGTTCTCGTGTGTTTATTGAGTTCCTCATACGTACGGTCAGTCAGGGCAATAGGTCATATTTAAAAGTCACCGGCTAGTGCACAGTATTTAGAGATTTCTCCGTCCAGTGGGCGGATCCCAAATCTCACACTATGGATTCATGGCAATCATACAGATCTGTAATCATGGCTTGTTAAGATTAATAGATCATCCGTCAAAGGTATATAATAGGTGCTCTTAAGCTACCTACATACATACCCGCATGCACGCATACATATAAATGCATATGTACATATCCCAGGTAACATTTAAATTTTTCGAGCTAATATCGCTGAAAATTTTTAACCAATTCTGCGTGAAATGTCTTCCAAATCGATGGGGAATCGCTATCGAATTCGTAGAGAATATCGAATTCGATGCGAATTCGGTCTTCGAATTCGACGCGAATTCGGTCTTCGAATTCGTGGAGAATTTTCAGCGATTTCAGCTCGAAAAATCTAAATGTTATCTGGGACAAACACGAAGTACGTACATACTTACATGCTAATGTATGAATACATAAGTTTATGTATTTACATGTGTATATATGTATGCACCTTTACTTTTGTATCTACTAGGGGTACGCACGTCATGTCGTGCCGCGTACATACATATGTATCTACATTCTACCAACGTATGTTGATAAATATCTGAAAAATTAGTATAAATGCTTGTTCAATTTAGGGAGCGTCCATAAATCACGTGATCGATTAGAGGGGGGGAGGGGGTCTGAAATTTGTCACGAATTATCACGGGGGGGGGGGGGGGGGTAGATGGGTAGATGGTCAGATGTCACGTGACATGAGTAAAGTTTTTTGCCAATAAATGTCATGAGAGTTTATATCGTGCGTGTGGTATGATACCACACGCACGTTATATAAATTTGATTTTAATTTTGCATATTTATAAACTTGCTTCGACCTAAATTCTTATGTCTGACTGGCGTATTAAATAGTTATTTACACATGTGTGTAATGTAGCTCTAATTTGATTAATGATTTAAAAAATATTGTTATTCCGGACATGATTTAATTTGAGCATCATCTCGTGTCACGTGACCGGTGGGGGGGGGGTAGCGAAATTATCACCACCGGTCACCAAGGGGGGGGGAAGGGGTCAAAATTGTCCAAAAATCGATCACGTGATTTATGGACGCTCCCTTATGTATTTAGCAAAGTTATCACAATATATGTATGTACATTATAATTCGCATTATCTATGTACATAAACTTTACTATGTTTCATTTCCGTATTTTAAAAATTGGCAGATATGTACATATTTCATTATTCGTATTTATTTGAGTATAAGTGAGCCGTGAGGACTGGTAGAAAGTTAGGAAGTTAGTTTTGAAAGGTGGTGTTGCATATTTAAATTTGCATTTATGTACATATGTACATATGTATGTAGACTCTTGCATATATACCTATATGTACATATGTATCTGTAAATATGGGTAGGTAAATGTGCATGTTCATTCACATGAATTTCTACGTACAGGGTTTTAAATACTGTGCAATAAAAAATAAGATCCCTTCTCACATGTTGCCTTTACTCAGCCTCTCCGAATCTTCGAACTCTTAAAAATTATGTTACCGCTCTGAAAACCAGAATATGGTGTAAATTCTACATTAAATAAGCCATAAAAGATCCAGAGTAAATAAATCTTACCCTTTATTAAGCTGGCGTTAGTCTGGGTTTAGTATACTTTATAGAATTCAGAGTGTTTGCTTCTCGAAAGGGTGACATTATTTTTAAGAGTGATGTCTTCGTGACATTATCCTAATTTAGGCTGAACAACGGAACGCTCGCACATATTTCATCCCATTCCTTCCTCGCCTCCACCGCACAAATCAAAAATCATCTCCGTCAACTCAAGGGTCAAACACGTATCTCAATTTCCCAACTTTTGTTGACTTGTTGATGAAAAATGAAATATTTCGATTGGGTGACCAAATGACTGAATGACCCATTTTTGGAAGTGACACATCTTTGTCCAATCCTGGTTAAGATGGGATGACGGATTTATTCATGTACGTGGCAAAATGCTGCCCCCACCCAAACTTTATATTTGTGAATCGCAGACCTGACTCACTCGTCACAAAGAGGTCTGTCCCATTAGTTCTTCAGTGTTAAAAATTCGAAAAAAATTCGATAGAAATTCCTACGAGTTTGTCAAAAAAAGATTACACCCAGGATGAATATCTACATATCTGTACCTCTCACATGGAAATTAAAGCACGGTAAATATTTCTAATTACCTATTGTTTCAATTTTTCAGATTTTCGTAATTTTCGCTTATTTAAGTCAAATGAAGTACGTTTTTTATGAATTATTTCGATACGTACATGCATACATAAATAATGTGAAATGCTAAACTTCAAGCGAGAAACTTAACTACTTATTTAAGCAGCCGGTCTTATTTTTTCATTTTTCTATATGGAAGGCAAATATGACCTTTTCTATTTAATACGGAACTTATAAATTTGTTAATTTTAAATTTACTCTTGACGATTTTTGATTATTTATTAATAAATATCTAGGATTCCTTTGAATGTGTTTATAAAAAGCTTATTACTTATTTCCAGATCAAAATTTTTTAAGGGAACGAACAATTTAAATTAATTCAAAACTTTACGTTTTATATTTAGTTATCCGTCCAGTACTTTTCACAAAACATTGGACTTCTTCGCACACTTTGTCTGCCTACAGGTCAAGCGTTGATTTGATTAAAGTCGTTTAAATTCGCATTGCTCGAGGATCTCCTTAGATTAACGAATTGCTGAGGTGTGTATGTAAATATTTAACCGAAATTATTGTTAATATAAAACTGAATTTCTAAAACGAAAATTATAGATTAAAACACATAATTTATTCTGTCTACAGATGGTTAGACACATGGATCAACGGAAATAAGACAAGTTCCCGTAATCGATTATTCAAGAAACATCTATTCTGGAGGACACCCTGGAAGTTAAGACATAAATTATCTACCCATCTAAAACAGTATTAAAATTGAAATTTAATTTCCGACTATGTTCTATCATGTTTAAAATTAATGTAACTCGGCTTTCTTGTCATAGCTGAATATTATTTAAATAGTGCAATAATTCAGTTAAAGTAGCGACACGATATTAAGTAGGAGAATTCATATTTATAACATGCAAGATAGTATATTGAATTTAGTAAATTTAGGTATGTCTGCAATATGCATGCATTTACTCTACAGTTATTGTATTACTGTTTGAGTACTTGCAGGGAAGACAAAAAAACATATTTTAACGTAATTTTAACGTTTTGTAGTTAGGATTATTTTTCGGCGACATCTTCGCCACACACTTTGTACATATGTAACCAACTTTGAAATGCTCTCAAAAAATCGAACAAGCATGCAAAAATCAATCCTTTCATTTTTTTTTAATGGAAAGTTGTATTTCTGCATTTAAGCAAAAGATTTGATCTTCACAGCTTCTCTTGGCTCTAAATCCACCCCATGCCTCTGCGAGAACTTGCTTAAGCTCAGCCAAATTTGGTACTCTCTCTGTTAGAATGCTTGTAAATAATTTTAAACGTGAATTTAATAATGCCCCATAATTTATTGGTAGGCTTGGATCCTCTTTCTTATGTATATAGAGTTACTGTTATGGATTTTGTCCAATTCCATATCAGACATTTTTTCCTCCAGACAAATTTGATTAAATACACCCGGTAATGCGGCATCCAGTTGGCAGGGCTTTAAGGAACTTATTGTTGATTGCATCAGTTATTATTTTTGATTCTGCGAAGTGCTATTTCACCTTCGGTTTGTGTAACAGGCTTATCATGTAGACGAACTCCAGAATTACCTGTACAGACTGATTTCACCACCCTTGTATCTCGATAGAAACACCCCATTCTGCTTCGGGTACCGTTTGGTTTAACCTTCTAGCTCGAAAACTTAAGTACTTTTATATGAAGATCGATCTCAAAAAGTTCATCATTCACGCAAGGATACTTTTAGAGCTTTCCATTTGGAACGTAACCTTTCCTGAGGTCGAATTGATGTTCGCACAAGTGGGCTGCCACTAGAAAATTTCTTCAACAGAGTACAACGTTTGGTTAACTATTTACCTCACTCCTGTGCTTATCAAGCTTCAGGACCAATGACTAACATCTAACAGGTAGACAATTACCCATAACCTAAATGTATTAGGGTTTGCTGTAGAAGATCAAGTGGATTTGCACATTGTACAATTTTTTTAGACTACTGATAATAGCAGATCTCTAATAGTCCATTTATCTTTTTTCCTTTACAAACAAGTGAAAAATGTATAATTCCTTGTTACCTTGGTTACTCATTTATACTGACATTCTGAACGATCTCTGCCGTATTCCCGTATTAAATTGGGATTTGTATACCCGATTTGATTAGTATTACATTTTATAAGCCCGCCACTTGTGTATATTCCACCCAACTATATGACCGGTTTTGTACAATTTAATGTATGTACACACAATTATGTATCAGTTATGGCGGAAGCTTACGCTTTGACACGGGCGTCAATGACAGAGTTTAGCATTTTTCCTTGGATTATGAGCGTGACGCCAGTAATGGATACGTACTTCTAGGGACTGTGACCGTGATTACGTGACCTTATCAGACACAAAAGATATGAAGGGAGGATTACTATTGGCTGAGAATGGTTCACTCAATGTCGAACTTGTATAACTTGATGGTTTCTCTAGATAGAAAATGTCACACTGTTGTGATTAATATCCCCAACGTTCGTTCCATCTGCAGCTTTATTTGCAACGGGTTCTTCATAACTCTGCAGGGATCTTTATGATTTGGTTTGTGGGAAGTGGAGTCCTCATGGGTACCCTCAAAATAGCGCAGGTATGCGATTTCTGATAATCTTAGTTCTTCACATTCTTGAAAGATGGGACTTAATGGCACGTGTTAAAGCATTGGCCAGTTTAGTAAAACCTTTGAGCAATTCACTGTCGTTGATCTGAGTCGTCTATAGATACTGCTACAAGGTTTTATGTATTATTAGCTTCGATTACAATAACTTCGGCATTTTGCTGGTGAAGGGTTGGGAATCAAGGTTAATCAAAATTGAGGCGTAAAATTCATGAAATTGAAATTTTAACTTATCTTTTGGAAATTACGAACTACCGAACGAAAATTTCCTCTGTATGTAGTAAAGCTAACATGAACCATTAAGTGTACTCGATATACATACTCCTGGGTATTGGTGTGTCATGTTCATGAAGCTTCAGCATTATTTGCGTCGATCAAATTTCTACATTCTCCTTTTTGCTGCACCTTTTCGTGAATGTGGAGATGCATTGTCAAACTTTTCTTTGATTTCATACATATGTTATGTTACGGTAATTCATAGTTCATATGGTCCTAAATTGATCAAAACTATTACACTTTGAATTAAGTCGGGCCCCGACTTAACCCCCCATATCTCATTTATTATGGTGCCTTGACGAGGGACTAATAATGTTCAGCCAGTATATGTACATACCGTTTGCGGTATATGTATTCTCTTGAAGAGTTATGTACAATCGCTAAACTAAATTCACCATTTATTATTATTAGTGGATTTTAATAATTAAATATGAACAAATTCAACGGGAACTTAAAGTTAGATTTGCGCATATACATATGCATGTATGTATATTACCGTTTGAGTCAGAGAACTCAGGACAAAAATTGTATGTTTAAAATTGTTATGGTATATAACCTGAATTTTGGTGGATACGTTCTATACCGAAACGTAGATTTTGAGATAACAGTTTTTTAAATTAGATTTCTGATACGTAGGGAAAATTTCGCACCATTTTTACAAGGTGATTAGCTAAAATAATGTCGCCCAACGCATGTTTGCTCATGGATACTCCATCCAGTAGACTGGAACTGGTAGATACGAACCTCAATTTCCATCTTGTTCAGGGTCAGATATATTTTCTCCCTCATTAATTCGATCGGTTGGTGTTTTTTTAATCCAAAACGTGCCCCAGAAGTTTTAGAACACAAACTCCACTATCCCTCAAACATGTCGTCATTATTTTCTCAAAAACACGATAACGCCAATTTCGCGATGAGTTTGCCTTTTTCATTGTTTGTTGTGCAATATTTCCTAACTCATTCAGCGTTCTTGTTGATGCGGGATTAGTTTCCATAGGGTAAAATACTTTAATTATTGTCACTGGTAAGAAATATCTCTTCCCTAAATTCGAAAATTTTTAATTTTTGCATAAGATTCACAATAGTCTTATCCTTGTCTGCAATCAGGTCCCATGATACCCCGAAGCTAGCAAACTTAGGGCTTCACAAGTAGGAAAAATCTTTGTATAGCATCTTTATGCACACTTGTATATTCCATAATTAATAGTTGAAATTGATACGTAAGGAAATACCAATGTACATACGCATATTGGTAAGAATATGTACACATACATACATTTGTATATCTATAAGCATTCTGTTCCACCTTACTGCATCCTGCGTTGAAATGTAATAAACGTATCTTACCAAAGTCACAGGAATGAGAAAAGAATAACTCCTCCTGTAAGCTTATCATTCAATATCGGTACATCAGTAATTCAACAAGTGCCTACAACTCTGAAAAAAAAATTAAAAAAAGTCCATTAATAACATTAAATAGTGATAGACTATAATATTGAAAAATGTAGTGGCTAAAAATTGCAATTATTGTTATACCTTTGCTTCCATTCATCGTCTCCATTGCCTGAGCTGAAGCTGCTTTCTGCCGAATTATAAAATTGGTTGGCCACGCCAACTGCAGTGTGGTCCTTTACGGCGTTTTCCGTCAAGGTAAACTGTGGTCGACTTTCCCATCAACTAAAATTTACCCCCACCATGTCCAATGTCCTTCGATTGGGTTTGTATTTATCGGCAATAAGACTGATAGGTGTGCTCCGGTCGGTTCCTTTCAGTGGTTCCTTACTCTGATGCTCAAGCTTTTCTCTTATAGTTTCCTTACTTGGTTCTTAACGTAGAGACAGAATTGACTAGAATAACTCGAGACAATGGAATGATGTGACGCAAGCTACATTGAATATTAACTTCCTTCGTACTCTTCCGGTAAATCCCGTAGATGTAAAACTGAAATTTCTAATATATTATTATTGTTGCGATATGAAACGGGTTGGGATGCTCTTGTGCGATACACATGAACAAAGGAATCTTCCTAATTTCCAGGTTGTAAGGGTGACAATGTTGCGTTAGCAGTTTCTTGATTCTCAAGAAACAGTACCGACAAATTTGTTTTTCATAAGTAATATTATTTCACGGTTGTAACACTTATGTTCAAAGGTGGGAGATGTTGGTGTTGATGCTTAGATGTAAAAATTGATAGATGCATAGATATTTTTATTTATGGGTTTGGAACCTAAAATTTTGTAGCGGTGTGCAAAAATATTTGGTGGAATAAGTGTTCTTCCTGAACGGAAAAAGTGCTCTTCCTTAGCCTTTCGATGGCCTGTTTTTCAATTGGTATGCCTTTCTGTGACAAGCATTTCGTTCTTCCTGTGTATTTTTAAAAGCTGAGTGTTCCGTTCCGTCTGTATTTTGCATAGCCTGAGTGTTCTGTTCTGTTCTTCAGGTCTTAATGCGACTTGAGTGGTCTTTTTGTTCCTCTCGCGTACCAAGGTTCCCCTTGCTCATGTGACTCAGTCTTATGTGTGCTGTCGTTATGGTCGTTGTGTTCAACTTTACCCATTTCTTTCTATTTCTTAAACAAATCGCCCTGCCAAGTGTCCTCCATGGGGAACTGGGATGGGACATTTTGGTTGTTTTTTTTGGTGCTTTGCATTTATTTCTCCAATCACGCTAGTGGGCCCGACTTATGTAATAAATACCAAGATCTACTTGCTTAATCAATTTTACACATCTTTTCTTCCATAACGAATTTATTCTCGATCTGTCACAACAAACCTATTTGTGAGTCTATGATTTAAAAAATGCAAAATGTTTTCCCAACTACTACACATCTTCCCAATAGCCTGAAAGGTATACATGGTAAGACTTATACCGTTCCGATTTTAATAAGTTTAGCAAACCCTAAAATATTTAATCGTTTTTAATATGATATTCTTGATTTTTCCGTCATAATTCAATAAATATTATTATCCAGAAGTTACCAAAATCATTATAACGCACCTCATCTGTTCGACACTTTTCCCAACATAAAGAAGTGAGCAAACAAATGTATGTATGATACAAGAATTATTCAAAACGACCTTCACTAATTTTCTTGTCCACTGTATGTACAATTTAATTTGCCTCATCAACGGCGGCTTCCTCGGCTTTATTGGCGTTGTCTGACAACCAGTTGACTCCTGAAATAGACTAACAATTCTGTTTATAGAATTTGGTTTTCACACTTCACACACTACTGAATCCTCCTGTGCCGTGAAAGTTGTTAATACAAGAAGATTAACGCCCGATTCAGAAAGTTTATTAAGATCATTGCCACACTAGGACTCCGAGTTTATATGTAATAGTCATGCAGATTTTAACATAAAAATCCCTTTACATTAAAGAGGATGTTTTTTTATTTATATTTCGATTTATACCAGGGGCTTTAGTTTAAATAAAATTACAGTCAAAGCAATGAAAACTATATGGTTCCATTAGCTAGCCGGCTGTTGATTTGTTCATCAATAACCTGCCACTCCAACTTATCACAGCTTGACATTGCTTCTGAATAAGATGCTGGTTCAATAGGCTGTCTATCTTGCAGTCAATTCATTTAACTTGTTCTGAATCTCTAATGCCGCACTTCCATCTTCTTTAGGCAGAAGCCCTTTATTTTTCCGGTTAAGCCTTCGCAAGGCGACTATCCTTTCTTTAGTAGTTGAACTTGCAATTTTTGAAACTTAGATCAAAATAAAGCAGTTCTCCTGTTGTATAATTTCTCAAACTTTTGGCGTATGTAGA